CTCAAAATACTTGAAAATGAGTCTCGGAGAGTCTTGAAATTCAAAATGTTCTGGGGGGGGCATGCCCCCAGACCCCCCTAAGGAGGCAAGGCCCTTTAGGCCTTACAACTTCTACTCCATTCAGTGCAACTTCTACTTTCAAAAGTTGTGAAAACACTATGGGGGAGCATGCCCTAAGACTTCCTTAGCAGCTTGGGCCCTACTGGCCCAAGTTACACGCCCTTTGGGCGTGTATATTAGTGTTACACCTGTAACTACCACAGCAACGGCTGTACTAAATTCTATTGAGAACCCTGCCTCAGCTATGGAACACCATCCCAGAATATATAAAAAATGCCGACAGTGTTGCTACATTTAAAACAAAACTCAAAACATTTCTTTTTAGAAAATATCTCAATTCATTCGTGCTTGACATTTAGGACAACTAAAGCTTTATTACTAGTGTTACATTCAAACTTTGCATTATGGACGTGTGCAGCTGATGTAACTTCTGATTTAGTTTTAATTTAGAGTTTACCCTTAATCCTGAGATTACAGTGATTGATACCTTTTTTGTTTCTTCAATTTTCACTCCGTCAGAGGAAATATCTGTCTGTTTAACCATCATTTATTTTATCGCTTCATTTGATTTCCTTTCTAAGTATCATAATTCATTGCTTTCAGTCAAACTGTACTTAATTAAAGAAGATTCAAAACTGACGATCGTACACATTCGGTGTTTTCCTTTGTCAACACAGTGGGTGTTTTGCGGGATAGTGAAATTAGTGAAACTAAAGTTAGGCGCTCACATTAGTTCAAAGATATCCTCGGAACCACGACAACGTACTTCTTCATCCTCAAGGAAAACTGATTTTAATACATGATGTCCTAATTATCCTATGGCTGAGAGTGGGGAGTCAAGAGAAGCAACAGGTGTAACGCCTTCCCAGTCGTTTTGTGTTGCATGACGCATCCCCTAATTATCCGTCGTGTTCACTAGAAGACACAANATATATATATACGACACCTGGAAAATAATACATGCTACTGCCGTGCAAGAGATTAAAAAGCTTGAAGATGATATTAAATCTGTTTACTCACGAAGGTCACAGCGTTCACGACGCTCTTCTAAATCAAAGTCCAACAGAAGTTCATACAAAGAGGCACCTCTTACCTGTCGCGCCAAAAGGGCCGCTCTGCAAGAGAAACTTAAGTTTTCATCAGTCATCGCCGAAAAAGAGGGCAAACTAGAACAATTGAAGATTCAAAAAGAACTTGTAGAAATCGCAGCCCAAGAAGCTGTCTATAAAACAGCATGGGATGAAGAGAATGAACCAAACGACGAACAACAACTGCTGCTACCTACTGCTGTTCATGATCCGATAGATGCCTTCCTAAATAGTTACGAAGAAACCAAATTGACCTTCACATCTCAAGCTGCCATCTTTACACCCACTACGCAAGGAACACCTGTGGCACACAACGTACCGGTCACATCTTTGTCATCTAGTCCATTTCTCGAGTCCCTTTCACAATCAGTACCTCCAACCTCGCTTGGCTCACCGCTAGTACCATCTGTTCAAGAAATTCAAAGACCCTTGAACCCATTCTCACCAGTATACACTACTGCCAAGTTTAGTTCTGGAAGTCAAAATGCCCCAATCATTCCAACAATCTCTACTACAAAGCCAGGGTACCAGCCTACCACGCCGAGAGGCTTCTGCCGAAATCCTCCAGCATTCCTTCCAGCATCGGTGACCACCTATCCCCCGGTACCACAGAACTACACAGCTCAGATTACAGATGCACTTGCAAAAATTACCCAATTACAGCAACTACCGCAAGCGACGCCCAGTGTTTTTGAAGGCAGTAGGTCAGACAAAACCAAGTTCTTCTTGTGGGAAAACGCCTTTGACAGTTTTATTGATTCTGCACCAGTCACAGCTAGACAGAAGTTACATCTCTTTTATCAATACCTAAGTGGTAAAGCCAAAAAGGTTGTGGAACAACTCCAATATCTAGTGGAGAACCCAGAAGGCGCTTATCGAGATGCTCGCAGAATCCTCAAAGAACGCTTTGGCAAAGCAGCCAAAATCGGTGCTGATTTCCAGAGGAAGTTGACAACTTGGCAGAAGATCAGACCGAGCGACACAGTTGGCCTGGAGGAATTCAGTGACTTCTTGCAACAAGTGAAAATTGCAAGCAAACATATTGAAAGTCTTAAAGTTCTTAATTATCCTTCACAAATTCAAGTTATGGTGGAAAAGCTACCTGGGTGGTTCAAAGCAAAGTGGTCAGATGAACTGTTGAAGTTTCAAAGGAAAAAAGTGAAAGATGCCTTTCCACCCTTTGAAGAGTTCGCTGAAGAAGTATGTTACCATGCAGAAAGAACAAACATCCCTCAAATCCTGCAGAGTCCAGGAACAACTGGTTCCACATTCCCTGATCGAAACAAGCGTTTAGGTCGCCAATCTGCTCATACCCGATCTTCGAATGTTGCTTTGACATCCACATCACCTTCAGTTGATGATTGTGAGGCAACGCTTCCACACGAAGAATCCCAAGTGGCAGCAATCCAAGCCCAACAGCCAGGCCTTCCGAATGCTCCAGCAAGCAACTCACCAAATACTAAACGAACAACTCCACCTAATGCAAGTGCATATTGCTTCTATCACAAAATGAAATCCCATGCGATGAAAGACTCCGAGCAGTTCCAAAATCTCAGCTAAAAAGACCCCAAAGACTTCTTCATGAGGAACAAGATCTGCCTTAGGTGTGTCAGCCCTAACAAACATGTCTCTAAAGACTGCAGTAGAGAAAAGTTACAGTGCAACAGAAGCACGCCACCATACTTCACGATCCGACCAGACATCAGAGGGAAGACATTAGCCGAGCCAGTTCCGCCTGCTCTCAAGTTTGTGGACGAAACCAGTCAGCTCGTTCCTGTGCAGGGATAGTTCTCCTTGAAGTTTTCCACCAAAATGATCCTTCAGCTAAAGTACCCACCTACGTAGTACTAGATGACCAGTCAACAGACGTCTTTATCGCAGACTCCCTCCTCGAACAACTTGGGGTACAAGGTAAAGAGGTGAACCTGGAAATAAATACGATTCCAGGCGTGAACAGTGTTCGCACTCAGAAAGTCAATGGATTACACATCCAGGACATAGACGGTCTACACAAGTCTATTAAAGTTCCATTTGCCTATTCACAAGAGAAAATTCCAGCCAGTCAAGAAGAAATTGCAACACCAGAAATGGCCCGGTCTTGGAAACATTTAGAAGGGATTGCCCACCACATTCACCATCGTACTAACACTGAGATAGGATTGCTGATTGGCCGTAACATTCCGTCCGCCTTCCAGCCTCTACGTATCATCTACGGCACAGATAATGAACCCTGGGCCGAAGAGTATAAGTTCGGGTCGACAGTCATTGGTCGTGTGTGCCTTGACAAAAGAGAAGACAAAAGAAATTATGCAACAGTCAACCGCATCGCAATATGGCGAGAAAACCCTCAGAAAGTCTTCAATGTGCCAACAAGCAACAGTTCCAAAGAAGACCCTGTCGTGTCCTTTGCTACGAAGCACTATATCAAAAATGTTACCTTGCCTCAACACGTTAAGGAAATGATGCAACTGGACTACAGTGAACTTCACTACACCCGAAGCATCCCAGAAACTGAAAGAAGTGAGTCCGTGGAAGACAAATGTTTCCGCGAGACTCTCACCGCTAACATCCACAAAAATGAAACGGGAAATTGCGAGATGCCCCTATCGTTCAAAACCAGTGATGTGATATTGCCTAACAATCGTGATCAATGTCTGAAAAGACTACTCTGAATTAAGTGGAAATTCCTTAAAAATAGCAAGACAATCAAACACTACACTCAGTTCATGCAAAAGACTTTTTACTAAAATCACGCCAGTCCCGTCCCATCAGAGGAGTTGAAGACCAGTGCTGGAAAAGTCTGGTACCTGCCCCATTTTGATATCTATCACCCCAAGAAACAAGATCAGATTCGAGTAGTCTTCGATTGCAGTGCTGTTTTCCAAGATCAGTCACTCAACAAACACTTCTTACAAGGGCCTGACATGATGAATGGTCTCGTTGGGGTACTCTCAAGATTTCGAAAAGAAGAAACAGCAGTAACATGCGACATTGAACAGATGTTTCATAGTTGTTACGTAAACGCTGAACACAGAGACTTTCTAGGATTTCTGTGGTTTAAGGATAACGATCTAAATGGTCAAATTTGCGAATATCGGATGAACGTCCATCTGTTCGGCACTGTCTCTTCACCCGGCGTTGCCAATTTCGGTCCTAGAGCCACAGCCGAAGGTGGTCGAATGCAATTTGGGAAAGCAGCAGCAGATTTTCTACAACAAGACTTCTACGTTGACGACGGATTAAAGTCCTTCGCTACACCCAAAGATGCTATTGATGTCATCGACAAGACGAAAATCATGTGTTCAGCTGCCTGTTTACGCTTACACAAATTTGCTAGCAACAGCAAGGCTGTACTGGATGCCTTGCCTGCTGAAGATCGCGCCAAAGACTTGAAGGATCTAGATCTCTGCCTCGATGTCCTACCTGTCCAGTACTCTCTAGGTACTTACTGGTGCATCAAAACTGATACCATTGGATTCCGTATAGAGCTTAAAGATAAACTTCTTACCCGCAGGGGGAATTCTTTCAACCGTGAGCTCAGTGTACGACCCACTAGGCATAGTAGCAGCAGTTATCTTAGTGGGAAAACAACTACTTCAAGAACTATGCCATGACGGCATTGAATGGGATGATCCCATACCCAGCCACAATCACTCACAGTGGGAAAAATGGAGATTGGAACCCCCCCTCCTTGAGAAAATTACGATTGCAAGGTGTGTCAAGCCCCCCAGTTTTGGTGAGCCAGTTATAACTGAGCTACATAGTTTCTCTCATGCTAGCAACATAGGCCTTGGCCAAGTAACCTACGTATGACTTGTGAACAATTCAAATCAAATACATGTCAGTTTCTTGATGGGTAAGGCTCAAGTCGCACCCTTGACGCTGATGTCGACTCCACGTCGCGAACTTAAAGCCGCAGTGATTTCAGCCAATGTGGCCTACATGCTCAGCAGAGAGCTCAAATACAAAGTCTTAGCCGAAGTATTTTACACTGAATCCTCCGTTGTTTTGGGTTATATTCGTAATGAAGCAATGCGTTTCCATACACATGTCGGAAACCGTGTACACCACATCCATGACAGATCAAAACCACAGCAGCAGCACTATGTTGCCAGCACCGATAACCCAGCTGACATTGCCTCACGAGACGCGACCGCCAAACAACTTTCAGAACACGAACCATGGTTCAAAGGTCCAAGTTTCTTGTGGGAGAAGGACGTATTTGTGGAGAACACAGATCCAGTTCCCGATTTGAACCCCGATGATACTGAAGTAAAGAAAGTCAAAACGGCGGTCCTTATCTCAAACCGAGTCACACCCCAAAACCAGGAAGAGAAAACCAGGAGGAGAAAACCTTTCCAGAAGTTTTGGAATTAGATGGGTTTAACCATTCTTCATCCCTTGGCCGCCTGAAAAGAAGCATCGTTTGCATCCAGAGAATGATTGAGAAGAATCGTCCCAACAAACAGCACAACTCAAGACCCATTGATAGAGCACTCACTGTGGAAGAAATGCGCCTAGCAGAAAGAGTAATCTTGAAGCCGGTGCAGTTCTAGTATTTCGGTAAGGAAATTCGAGTACTCCAAAATCACAGCTACAAGGACCCCATGTTCCAGAACCGCCAGAATGCTCACACTAGAAATAAAAAACTGAACCAAACCAGATGGCTCTTTAGACTCAACCCATTTCTAGATGGAGAGGGATCGCTCAGAGTTGGAGGCCAACTTCAGAAGGCTACCTTGGCCTATGAAGTAAAGCATCCCATTCTCGCGCCCAAGAAGAGTCACATAACTGAACTTTTCATCAGACAGTACCACAGTAAAGACCAACATCATCAAGGCTGTGGTATGACCCACAATGCACTTAGACAAGCCTGTTACTGGATTATAAATGGACGTTCCTCTGTTTCTCAACACCTCCGAAACTGAACTATTTACCGCAAGCTTCGTGGACCTGCTCAAGTCCAGAAGATGGTGAACCTCCCAACAGAACGTATCACTCCCGCTGCACCTTTCACATATTCTGGTATGGACGTTTTTGGACATTGGTACATTAAAGAGAGCCAAAGGGAACTAAAGCGCTAGGGACTGATCTTCACCTGTTTGAGTTCCCGTGCCATACATCTGGAGACCCTAAACTTAATGGAAACGGACTCATTTATAAACGCACTCAGACAATTCGTCAACCGAAGAGGCAAAGTCCGAGAATTAAGATGCGATCAGGAATCTAATTTCGTCAGAGGAAAAAGTTAACTCAACGCTGCCTTAAAAGAAGTGAATGTCGACTCTGTTAAGAACTTCCTCCTATCCAAAGATTGAGTTCATCGAGTTCAAAATGAACGTGTCATGCGCATCCCATATGGGCAGCATAAGGGAACAACTTCTTCGTACAGTACGATCAGTCCTCACTGGTCTTTTTAATGACCACGCCCAACAACTCAACGATGAGGCCCTTCAAACTCTGTTTACTGAAGCAGAAAACATCGTGAACAGCCACCCGCTCACCGTCGACAATTTATCAGATCCAGAGGCACCTGAGCCAATCAGACCAAATCATCTGCTCACTCTCAAGACAAAAGTAGTCTTACCCCCTCCAGACAATTTCTCGCGACCAGATCTTTACTCGAGATGAAGATGGCGAAGAATCCAAAAGCCGTCGGACCAGTTTTGGCATCGCTGGCAACGAGAATACTGCTTGCTACAGCAGAAACGTCGAAAATGGAATGATGTCAGTCCTAACAGCCAAGTCGGTGATATTGTCCTTATTTGCGACAAGTCCTACCATAGGAACCAATGGCCACTTGCCAGAGTGACAGAGGTTTATCCCAATGAAGATGGGCTTGTTCGCAAGGTCCTCCTCCTCGTCACTCAGTCTGGAAAGAAGAGGCTATTGGAAAGACCTATCCATAAATTGATTCTGATCTTCTGCCCAAACAAACATGAAAGCGACAACTGACTCAGCATGCTGATAAAGGAACATTTATTACCGGAGTATGACCCCGTCAGGGAGCCTGAACTGATCCTTGGTATAGAAAGATTGACATTTATAGAACTTGTTTCGTTTGATATTTATTCATTGTAATTTCATACATTCTTACAATGTATGAGGGGAGCCATGTAACGCCTTCCCAGTTGTTTTGTGTTGCGTGACGCATTCCGTCATTCCTAGTTTTCATACGGGACCTTAAGATAAGTTCCCTCGTGGAGAAAAGCAGAAAAAACCGTTTTGTTAGGATGGATGTTTTTGTGGTTTCATTAATGAGCTAGTCAAGTTTCTATTGAAACCCGTTCATAGGCATGTTCCATGACAGTCTGCGACAGTCATCCGGATAGTTTAGTGAGTATCATCTCAAAGTAACATTGTAATTGACCGTGGTTAAAAACAAACACCGGACTTGATTGTTAGACGTATTGGCGCATACCCTTGGTTTTCACGCGGCCCGTTGCACAAGCAAAGCGGCCGCTACAACAGGCGCTCAGCCAAAACAACCGAACATGACCCTTAATCAAGATGAAACATTATCTGAGAAGTCTATTCAGCTACAAAGAAACAGGTGCTGCGAAAGGGAACCTTACATCAACATCATACCGTCAACATCATACCGTCAACATCATACCGTCAACATCATTTGCACTGAATAAATCGTCTTTATCAGCATGGTGTTGTGAGGTTACCATTACTGCAGTTACACAGACCATTGGAGGTCATCTATGGGCCACATTTCAAGCCCTGTGCCCGCATTGAACGCTGGATAATACTCCTACAACCCTAGGACTTCCGAATCGTGTATACTCCATGGCAGAGTAATATAGCTGATCCTCTTTCCTGCCTGCTCAAGCAAGATAAAGTACAGAGTCATCCTCATGGAGCGGGAGAATACATCCAATTCGCAGCCATCAGTGCCACTCCCCAGGCATTAACTACCAGAGAGATCGAAGAAGCATCTGAAGCAGACGAAGAATTAAAAGTCATGAGAGAAGCGATTAAAACTTGCCGATTTGAGAAATACAAAGAGTATGCACCAGCCGCAGGAGAACCGTGTGTGATTGGACAGCTGGTCTTAAGAGGTACCCGTATTGTATTACCAAACAAATTCAGATCTCAGGCAATCAGCTTAGCTTACAAGGCACACCTGGGAATCATTAGTACAAAGCAAAATTTAAGAAGTAAAGGGTGGTGGCCTCATATGGATAAGGCAGCAGAGAAATTCTGCAAGTCCTGTCACGGATGTCAACAGGTATGTTGTCCAGACCCACCCCAGCCATTGAGATCCACTACACCACTGGAAAGGCCTTGGCAAGACCTAGTCATAGATCTTCTAGGACCACTTCCATCTGGACACTCAATTCTCGTTCTTGTGGACTACTACAGCCGTTATTATGAGTATACAATCATGACCTCAACTGTCACAGAGAAAGTAATCGACAACCTGGAGGAAATGTTCAGCCGCCATGGCCTACCCCTGACCATCAAGTCAAACAATGGTCCACAGTTCTGCTCAGAAGAATTTCGGGAATATTGTAAGCAGAATGGAATTGTTCACATTAAGACCACACCAAAATGGCCTCAAGCCAATGGGGTGGTGGAGACAATGCATCCTGATGAAGAGGATTCACATTGCCCAAGCTGAAGGGCTAGACTGGGTGAAGGAGCTAAGAAGATAATTATGAGACTAAATACAGAGGTATTGATCATGCGACAACCAGCAAGAGCCCTGCCAAATTATTGTTTAACAGGAAGATGAGAGGAAAGCTACCAGAGCTAAATGCTGACTATCACTTGGATCTGGAAATTCGTGGCAGAGATGCAGAAGTGAAAGCAAAGACCAAAGCGTATGCTGATAAATTCATGAATGCAAAACCATCAGATGTTCAAGTTGGTGATCAAGTCCTGGTGAGGCAAAAGAAAAGAGACAAATTTTCCACACCATTAAATCCAGTACCATTCCAAGTGGTTAGTAAGACCGGTAAAAGTGTTGTTATGGCAACTCCAAGTGGAACGCAGTACTTAAGGAATACATCCCATGTTAAGAAGTTTGTGAGCCCTAACAATCCTATAAACAACCTGCCAGTACTGATGTAATTACGGTACCTGAAACTACCACGGCACCAAATCAAACGATAAGTGGATCTACACCAGCAGTGCCTACAACACTTCCGAGTGGACCCCTGACTCGCATCACACCTTCAGCACAAGCAAATGCCGGAAACAAACACGAGTCAACCCCTGCCAGCAAAAATGCAGTAGTTGACCAAGCAAGAATTTGAGCCTATTATTGGTAATTTAATTGATTTTCACTATGCAGAGCCCTTACACAATGGGAATAATGCGTAGCAATTTTGGCATAGTTTTGTACTAGAGATTGCTTTAAGTAAATCTCAAGTAACACAGAACTGTAATGAACTAAGCAAATTACCATCAGATTGTGCATTTATTTGTTACATCGACTCTGTAAAGGGATTAGGACTTTCCCGTCTTGCAAAGAAAGTGAGAAAGTGGTTCACTGAGGGAAGAAAGAAATCATTTGACTACAGATTCACAGGGAAAGAGACCAAAACATTATGCAAAAATTTTATGAGTTTAATCGATGTTATTAGTAGTGACCATGACCTTCCTGAAACTAAACTCAAAACTGCAACCTTGGCATATTGTGGTTTGCAGCTTAGGGATGCTGTATCTTTGTTTTCAAGGGTGGAAACTAATCAAGCTGATATATCTCAAATGAAGACTACTTGCCAACATTTCTTCAATGCAAACTCATAACTACTGAGGGTGTCCCCTCCTGTTTGGACTATTGGTTATGTTATACCATACCATGCCCAAATTTTGTATGATAAGTATGGGTTGGGCCTTAGGCTTAACAGCATGCCGGGACGGGAAGTGAAACATGTAAGGCTTAGTCAGTATTCAAGGCATGCCACTCTAACAGGTCGTTGGCAACAAGTTCTTGGCCATGACTATATAACTTATGTATGGATATGCAGAGAAGAACCATTTCACTCAGCCTATGTTAAGAGTAAGGAGCAGTACATTCCATCCAAGATTAGCTCGGATGGATTCTGCTACAGTGGATTTCCCAAAGAGGAAAGGGGGCAAAATGCTGCAAATTTTTTTCCTCTTCTCTTTACAGGGCTGTTGCCCAGAGTGCAGCATCAGGAATATTAAGAGCTCAAATATGCAATCTTGCAAGTGTAACTGCATGAAAAATCACAGGATACACAACGTAACTTGGATAAGGGTACCTGTATGAGAAGCATATTACTTGACTAAATTTAACCAGCATATGTGTAGCTGGTTAAGTATGTTACTTTATTTGATTACCAAGTCATATTCTCAACTTGTTGAACTTAAGAATTTTGTCATTGTTGTAAAGAAAGTATTGAACATTTTGAGGAGTTGTGTATTAACATTTAGAATCCTTATTGGATAAGATAGCTGGTAGCTTGTTATTTGTATCAGATCAACAGGCATCCATATGAATAGTTGTAGAGAAAGTGTTGTTAAATTGAGGTATGTTGTAACCCAGATTAAAATAAAGTGACTCAAGTTTTCTATTTGTGGAGACATTTTGGTGGTCAAGAAGAATCATTTCCTCAGACTGTGAATTACTAGGCTAATAGGCACCAGTAGGCACTATAAGAGTAGACACTAAGACTTCACTGTTTTCTTTTGATTAGTTTTGACTAAGGTGCAAAAATCTTTAATGATTTTAAATAATGTTTCATAATTTGTAGAATTTATTATAGTCCGAATTTACTTTCGTTTATTGTAACTATTTTATAATTTACTCTAAATTGATTTCTGTTTATTTTTTTTTAAACAGGACCTGCATTGATAGCAGTTTTCTTTCCTAAACTGAAGCAGCAATCCTGTATAAATATGTTTAAATTATTATTATTATTATTATTATTATTATTATCATTATTATCATTATTATCATTATTATATTGGATAATTTTGACTAACTGATATTGTTTCCTGGTCTCAGGAAAATCACTCAACCAGGAGATATTATTGTAGAGGGGCTTAAACATACACCAGGCTTTCAAATTTAATTTGACATAACCGTAAGTGAGTTGAAATTGGGATGGGAATTGGACCAGTAAATTATGATCAATCAATAATAGTTTTAAAAATTGTTATACACCAGTTGATTCCAGCATTGCCCATCCCCTAGCCCTGCCCACCTGTATTGGCTTTTTTTTTTTTTTATAGAATTGGCAAATTTTCCAAAGTAAGTGACAGAAAGAACCAGTCAAATGCCCTGGGCTGATTACAAAAATGAATGCCAATCCACCATCCCAGGGCTCATCCAGAATTAACACTGCTCAAGATCTTATATGTCAAAATGAAAAAACCGCATTCACAATTATTTTGTCTGTCCCTTTGTTTACATGTGCATCTATTTCATCTGTTGGTCAAGTATGGATCAAATTAATGAAATTATAGGGTGAGTACTGGGAAACTAAATATTGGCTGTAAGCAAGCCTTTGATATCTAGCAGTGCTTAAATCATCAAACTTCTGTAAATTGGCCATGGTATCACTCATAGTTCATGATAAACACAACATTGCATCAGTGCATATTCCAACAACAGATGCCCAACATTTAACGTTCGGGTATAAAGTTAACTCAACATGCAACGTAATAGTTTTTATCCTTATGATATTGTTTGCTGTGGTATCCTTGACCTGTTCCAGCTGCCATGGAGAGATTCGATTCAGAAAATTTCAAGAGTCTTCAACTCTCTAATTTACAATCGTTGTCCTCCCTCTTCAACGTCTGAAACTGCGCAGGAGAGTCTTGACTAAGTCAGTGTTTGGTGTGGCTCATGGCTTTTGAGGAATAATTTTGATAAAGGTGAGACTATGAAGTTCACCAGAGCTAGAAATCATGCACAATGCAACTATTCCATTGACAATATATCTATTGATCAAGTATCTACTCATAAGCATCTTGGAGTAATCCTCTCTGACGAGTTATCATGGAAACCTCACATTCTCTCAATTGTGGCACGATCAAACAGATTGCTGGGCTTACTCAAACAAACCCTTGGGTCACACCATGAGGCTTTACTCAAGGGCTACAAAGTTATGATTCGACCAATACTTGAGTATGCTTGTCAAGTGTGGAACCCCCACAAAATATATTTCATCGATAAACTTGAACGGGTTCAAAGGAATATTACAAGATGGATCGCTGGCAAAGACACTTCCTACAAAGATCGTCTAAAATCCCTCAATCTTCCAACACTTGCTCATCGTAGAGAATTCCTGGGCTTAGTCCAGCTTTTTAAGTTTATAAAGGGATATTCTGCTGGAAACATTAATGATACTATGTCTTTTAGTAATAGGAAATGTAGAAACTCCCACTCTTATAAACTTTACAAGCCTTTTTTTCACACGGATGTATTTAAATATTCTTTCTGGAACAGATACATTGATTGTTGGAATAAGCTACCATCAGCTGTCGTAGATCATGAATCTGTAAATAGTTTTAAAAAAGCATTGAAAAAAGTCTATTTTAAATGATTTATATATCTATAACATGTTTTTAAATTCTTACACATTCATGTATTGTTAAAGTATTTGTATAGATATATGTAATTTATTATAATTATAATATGGGTTATAGTTAATATGGGGATTAAGTTCCTCCCTCTATAACCCAATTGTAATGTAATGTAATGTAATATAATGTGAATTACAATTACAATAAAGCTGTTAAATATATACCGAAGTCAAACCAGGTGAGAATCGTTCACCACAGTTTTGCAATAACTTCCATCCTTCATTTCTTTGAACAAAACAGAGTCATCGTTTACAGCATTTGCATTATACTTGTTTGCCACCGTCAGGATAAAAGTGTTTAAAATGTCCAAGAGTACAGATGGCAGATTTCAACCCGACACCAACCCGGTGTGCTTTTGATCTAATCAGTAACAACTCAAATTCAATAATTTTGTCCTTTTATTTCAGAACAAAGCATAGTTGGTTATTTATGTAACCTGTACCCTACAAAGACCAGCCAAAACAAGAATCAATCATTTTCACTCAATTTCCAAACAAACACCTCAGTAAATCGTGCTGTCTACTTCCCCCCAGAGAAGCCTTAGCAGTGCTCAAACCTAAATTTGAGTCTTGACAACCTGTTAAAATACAGAAGTTCCAACTTAAGAAAAACCATAAGATTACAAAAAGGAAGAATTGATTCTCAACAAAAGAACAAAAATTCAAGCTCACCATGAAAGTGAGATGGATTTTGACCTCCAGCAAATAAACGAAGAAACCATGGTACCAACAGACAGCTCAGAAGAGGAAATTCAAGGTTGAAAAACCAATACTCTGGTCAACATCGCCGGCCATATTTTATTTCATGGCACTGCCGAAACTGTGAATGTTCACAGAACAACTTTGACTAAACAAGAAGTCCTGTTTACAGATAACAGACTGAGTGGATCTCTATGGCTGGTCTTGTGGAAACAGGACACAAGTAAAATGAAATCAGGGCAATGTTACAAAATATCAAATGTTGCCCTTAAAGGATTTAGTGGCGCAAAGTATTCAACTTTAACAAAAAACAATACAATAAATGAGGCTGACAGATTAAGGATAGATCGAGAAGAGGTAGTGTTCGAGAAAAAACAACAAATAAAGCTGCAATTCCCACCAGAAGGAATTAACTAAGTTCAATCCTATTGAACCCACAACAAGTGCCACTCGAAAGTTATGGACAGTGACAAGAAAATCCTCAAATGTTCTGAGTGTGGCCTAATGCAACTGAAAACCAAATGTTGCTGTAAAATAATAGCCAGTATTCTTACCATCATTGGAAAAGACACTACTTCCCTAAATATAATTGATGATATGATTAAACAACTGTATACTATTAAAACAGAACAAGATGGAGAATTTGTGAAAAAGTTTGCAGAAATTAGTGATAATGATATCACTGAACTGCTTCTTCCTGTCAAAGCAACAGTTGTATTCAATGACAAAAATGCCAAAGAGGTGATCAAATCAGTGTAAATCATAAACAATTCTCTTTTTATAAGCTGATACTAATTTATAACTACTTTCCAAAATGTAAATAGGTCTTTAAATTTCTCATTTAGA